ATTAGCCTTAGAACAATTCTTACGAAAATCTCTATCTTTTTGTCATTCCAGTCCAGCAAACAAAGAGAAATGGCTTATGCTGCTATTTCTTCACTTATGTATACATTGGAACAACAACTCTTCAAACCTAATCAATATTTCCATAAGTACAAGTAAGGGGCGCTAGACCTTACCTTACTAATCCTAATGCGATAACAAAGTCACGTCAGAATTCCAAATTACCGAAAATTCATGGACTATAGCACACGAAAATTAGAAAAATGTGGTGTTGGCCTAAAGTGGGGACCTTCAAAATGGGCCGATTTTCCCGTGGGGACCAACTGTCTTCATAGCTAAATTCTTAACGGATGTCAATGAAAAATTTGGGTAAAAATTATGTCAGAATTCTGGATCACCAAAAATCCATGGATGCACATGAAATAGGCAAAATGGGGGGTTTGCCTAATGTGGAGCTCGTTTGACCTTTAAAATGGATCGGTTTGCCCGTAGGGACCAACTGCTCCATAGCCAAGGTTTTAGCGAACGTCCATGAAAAGTTTGGGCAAAAATCACGTTGAAATTTTGGATCATCAGCATAAATCCATGTACTATAACACGTGAAAATGGGCAAAATTGGGGGTTTGCCTGCTATGGAACTCGTTTGATCTTGAAAATGGGTCGGTTTTTACGTGGGGACCAATTGGATCCATATCTAAAGGCTTAACGGACGTCGATGTAAAATTTGGGCAAAAATCATGTTGGAATTTCGAATCACCAAAAATTAATGGACTATTTAGGACAAGAAAATTGACAAAATTGGGGGTTTGCCTGCTGTGGGGCTCGTTTGACCTTGAAAATGAGTTGGTTTACCCATAGGGACAACTGGCTCCATAGCCAAGGTCTTAACTGACGTCCATGAAAAATTTGGGCAAATTAAACGTCGGAATACCGTATCACCAAAAATTTATGGACTATAATAGCACACGAAAATTGGCAATTGGGGGGTTTGTCTGCTGTGGCACTTATTTGACCTTGAAAATGGGTAAGTTTGCCCGTGGGGACTAACTGGCTCCATAGCTAAGGTCTTAACTGACTCCATTAAAATTGGGGCAAAAATTACGTTAGAATTTCAGATCACCAAAATGCATGGACTATAACACACAAAATCCACAAAATTGGGGGTTTGTCTGTTGTGGTGCTCGTTTGACCTTGAAAATAGGCCGATTTGCGTGTGTGGATACCCATTTGACACTGGAGTGTCAAAGCCATAAAAGGAGTCCACGCACCAGAAATGTTGTATAATCAAGAGAAGCAAAACGAATGAGGCTTGCTATGTTGTACGCTCACATTGCTTACAACATGACTTGAACCCTCGACCAATATAATTGGTTAGAGGTGGAGGTGTTTCATCAAATGAGCAAGTCTCACTCGTCTTTCGAAATACATCTTATTATAGAGTATATTGTTTACTTGTATAGTTTATTCCTATTTTTGAATGTTTTTCAAACAATTTTTGCAGCTGCGGTATGAGGTATCTCGTGGAGCTTCGATGCTTTTAAAATGTGCTCTGATGGGATTTTGAAAATATCGCTCTATGTAAATTGCAGTGTAGTGTTTCTAACTATTTCATTTAGTTTTATAATAATGTAAGAAATATATATGTTTAATTTTATACAAGTTTAAGTAGAACACGTTTGTCTTGTTATTCAATTTTATGTAAGTTTAAGTGTCTAGTTGTGCACGTGACCCAAAATTGAAGGATGTGGATGCCATCATTAGTGAACCATAAAGTAGTATAAACTGGCTGCATTATTCAACAAACACATTATCTCACAAATTATAAAATACAAAAGAGTTGCCCCATTGAGCATCTTGTATCTAAAGTAGTATTAATTAAGTGAAACAGTTTGATTTGTATTAGATTGTGTTCTCTCTCATTTGTCAATGGAAATTCATTATCTCATGTTATTAAACAAATGATACAAAGTAAATACACTAGTAGTCTTTGTCCCCCATTTAGAAAAAAATAATACTAATAATTTGGAGAGAACTTTTATCTTAATAATAACAAAACAGAGACATTAAATCTGCAAGCGAATTGCAATAACTGTTATCCTCTCTATTGACTCTTTCTCCCCTGCAAAGAGAAATGGCTTATGCTGCTATCTCTTCACTTATGCATACATTGAACCAACTCTTGAAACCTGATCAATCTTTGGTTTGTCGATGTTGTACACAACAACATCTCGAATCACTCTGTCAAAATCTTTCTGCTCTGCAAGATTTCCTTGACAATAATATGACAAAGGATATTGGAACTCTTAAGGTATATATATATATATATGTAATTCATTAAATTAATCTTACTCATGTTGTATATGTTCTTTTTTAATTTATCGATTTTCAATTTCAAGGTTATAGAAAAGAGGATCAGAAATGTAGTTTACAAAGCAGAAGATGGAGTTGATTCAAGTCTAAGAAGCATCATTCTAGCTGATCGCGCAAAGAGGAGAGAAAAGGCTTGTAGATCCTTTTATCAAGAATTGTTGAAAGTGGAAGAACAAGTTTATTTTCTCAACAAAGAGGTGATGTTGATCGAGTTTAACAACCATGAAAAAAGCAAATCTGCAGAATTAGCAGCAATTTCCTCCTCACTGGAAAAAAGTACAATTAAGGAAAATAGTATTGTTGGGATGGAGGATGACTTCAACACCATACTTGATCGCCTCACTTCCCAAACACACGAGTTAACTGTTGTACCAATTTTTGGCATGGGCGGTATTGGTAAGACAACTCTTGCCAGAAAAGTTTATGATAATTCATCTATTCGTTCTCGATTTGATAAACAAGCATGGGTCACTATATCTGAAGAATACAATGAGAGACAAATGCTTCTTGAACTTGTCTCTTCAATTATGGGAAGCAAGCAAGAAAGGAGCAATGATGAACTAATGGAGATTGTGTATAGAGGTTTGAAGAGTAGGAGATTTCTAATTGTCATTGATGATATTTGGAGTACTAAGGCATGGGACCAAATGCAAAGAATATTTCCAAATGATGACAATAGAAGCCGAATTCTATTAACCACTCGGCTCAAGTATGTTGCTGATTATGTCAGTTGTCCTGGTTTTCCGCCTCATAGTAAGTCTTTCTTAAGTCTAGAAGATAGTTGGAATCTATTCACCAAAAAATTATTCAAAAACAATCCGTGTCCTCCTCTCTTAGAAAAAACGGGGAAGCATATTGTAAAACAATGTCGAGGATTACCCCTCTCGGTTGTTGTTGTTGCTGGACTTGTTGGAAAAATGGACCCAACACATGATAATTGGAAGAAGGTTGAGGAAAATCTGAGCTCGTTCTTTGGTACTGTGTCTGAACGGTGCCAATCAATTCTTTCTCTGAGCTACAATTATTTGCCCCAATATTTAAAGGCTTGTTTCCTCTATGTTGGAGGTTTTCCTGAAGATATGGAGATTGATGTTTCCAAGTTAGTTTGGCTATGGATTGCTGAGCAATTCGTAAAGGCAAGAAGCAATAAAAGATTAGAAGTGGTGGCGGAGGAGTATGTAGAAGAGTTAATTGATAGAAGTCTAATTTTGGCTGGTGAACAAAGGGCTAATGGAAGGATGAAAAGTTGCAAAATTCACGATCTTCTTCGCCAAATGTGCCTAAGGGAAGCTCAAACTGAAAATGTTGTGCATCTCATGAATGGGGATGCTCTCAAAGCCATAGATGATCAACGTCGAGTGATCCTTGTGTTTAATGTTGAAGAGAAGCATGATTATCGTCTGCAATATAGCAGTGGTACTATAATACGTACCTTTATTTCAATGGATAAAACTTTTCCAAAAGGGATGTATTCAAAGTTGAAGTTGCTTAAAGTACTGGACGTATTATCAGTTCAATACGATTTCTTTTGGATAATACCTCAACTTGTACATTTGAGATATGTTGCTGCAAGAATTGGGGAAGGTCTTTCATTAGCCAAATTGAGAAATCTACAGACCTTAATTCTTCGAGAATATGACTTTTCCAGACGAAAAACGATGCAGCAGCCAGTAGATATCTCAAGAATGTCAGAGATAAGATGTTTGGATTTAAGATCGCCACTGTATATGTGTAATCCTGTTAAAGCAGAATACCCTTTGTGCCTACTGAATAACTTGCATACACTTTGTCTCTATAACTCTCCTTTTATTGCGGAAATCATAAGAAGAAGTCCCAATCTGAAAAAGCTAACGATTTTAGATATATCTAAGCATCCTGAGTGGGCTGTTATTCTTAATTATCAGAGTATTTTACAGGATCTGGAGACACTAACCATCGATACACAACAAAACATTGATCCGATGATTATCTCTGGCGATATTTCTCTTCCTAATATTAAGAAGTTGACACTAATAGGTACTCGTATACCATGGGAAGATGTGAAATTTCTGGCTAATTTACCCAATCTTGAGGTGTTCAAAGGGTTTCGTGCATTTGCTGGAACAGATTGGAAAGTTGATGAAGATGTTGTGTTTCACAAATTAAAATATCTACTACTGAGTAATTGCTATAATCTGGAAAGGTGGGAATTAGCAGCTGGTAGTGATAATTTTCCGATGCTTGAGCAACTAAAACTGATTGATTTTCATGAACTGGAGGAGATTCCCGAGAGTATTGGAGATATAATGACACTAAAACTCATCCAAGTACGTTGTTGCAGCTCTGGTGTAGACAATAGTGCTAAAAGAATTCAACAAGAGCAAGAGAGCTTGGAAAATTATGAGCTTCAACTTCAAATTATTCAGCCTAAGGTATGTTAAAATTCCATCTTTAATTATTAGTCAATCATTAATTGATATTTTTTATATCACCTGCTAAATAAAAAAAATTATTACATTTCTCACACACTACACCTTGAAGTTTTGTCCAAATTTTATTCTTTCATTTCTGTTAATAATAACAATTTGTCTAATGGCTTTGTTTTCTACTTTTCTCGACTATTTTGGTGTTGGACAAAAAAAGTCTCGGAGAAATTAATTGGAGCTGGCCAATAATAGGTGAATTTTTACTGCTACTTGCATTTTTTTTTATATTACCTGCCTCTTGATTGTTTCCTCACTTTCTTTTTTCCAATTCTTCATTATCTCCAGAGAGTGGTCAAGCTAATTTCAACTCAACAAAGTGGCGTGCTCTCGATTGATGTAGTTTGGCAACATTTAACTTCTGGTGCAAATTTATATTTGAGAGATAATTTTATGTGATTAGTTGTTGTTTTATGTTATTTTCTTTAGCTGATCATTGTAGTGTTTTTTTGGTGTTGTTTTTGTGCAGTTTAGGTTAGCTTGGTGATGTTTTTTGGAGCTGTGTTTTGTGCAGTTTCTATGCTAGTTTTTGTGCTGATTTTTGGTGGTTAGGTGTTGCTGTCTGCGCAGCAGTTTGGTGGCGTTTTGGAGCTTCTTTTGTGCAGTTTGGTGATGTTTTTCGGAGTTGTGTTTTGTGCAGTTTGATGCTGATTTTTGGTAGTTTGATGCAGCAAGTTGGTGCTGATTTTTGGTGGTTTGATGTTGTTGTCTAGTGTATAACTTTTGGTGCTGATTTTGCAGTTGTCTACTGATTTTTTTGGGTGTTTTGGTGCTGTAATTCGATAGCTGCTATTTTTTGTTGTAGTTTAAGCTATTTTCTGCACAAAAATTGTTGAAAACAGAGCACTATAGTTCAATTAAGTTGCTGATTTTTGAATTTTTCTGCAGTTTCATTGATGTAATGACCGATTATTAACATGAAAATAGAATCATAGTTTTGCTCACAATATTTTCTCAATTGTGTTGTTACCTAGCATTTTGCTTGAGCAACTAATACTGGATCGTTTGTATAATTTGATGGAGATTCCGGAGAGTATTGGAGATATAATGACACTAAAATCCATCGGAATATCATGGTGCGGCTCTGGTGTAGAGACAAGTGCAAAGAAAATCCAACAAAGCTTGAGAAATTATGAACTTCAAGTTAAAATCTCTCGTAATAAGGTATGTTAAAATTCCATCTTTGAATCAGATCACTTGTGTTTAGAGGTTTTATTTTAAATTTGTGATCATTTGGAGTGTAGCGTGGTTTAATTGAAATTACAAATTTAAACAACACTTTGTTGGACAATGCATATATATAAACTTGTCATCAACACATTTTGTTAATTTGTGGTGTATTTCTCAATTTGTTTTGGAAAGATGAAGAAACAGAAGGTACTTGAAGGAAGCTGGTGATGATTGATCCTCCGTTTATAGAGTGATAGAGTAATCTTGTCAAACATCAAGAATTGAATGGCAAGGTACATTCTTACGAGTTATCCTAACGGTTTTCTCTTGTGTAATACATGAGCTTGTACATTTGAGATATGTCGCTGCAGGAATTGAGGAAGCTCTTTCAAGAAGTTGACATTATCAAATACTAAAGTACAGTGAATGTACCACTCGTTGGACGCGTGACTGAGGTATCTCGAAGAGCTTCGATGCTTTTAACACATGCTCTGATGGGGTTTGGAAAAGATCCCTCCATGTAAAAGTGCAGAGCACTGGCTTTAAGAGTTTCACTTAGTTTTCTTCCAGCTGAGTCAAATTGTCATATGCAATATTTATCAGTTACACACTTGGGTAAATTCAGAGATTGTCATTACAAACTTGTCGAATATGAAACGGACTATTTTTGAGCATTTCTTCACCAAAATCCGAGAATACTCTCTTGATAAACCTTACATCCAAGAAGTCGAAAAAGAAACAATCTTATACGACAAAGATCAACAACTTCTGCAGAAAATAAACAACTTGATTTCGCATCAATACAGGTATATGGACTTTTGGACTTAAAAGAGTCCAATGGTATGGAAAAAAAGAAGCAACTATAGTCCAAAAGAATTTTAACACTTTTTTGATATGTTAATAAGAATCCTTACTGGTTTCACTTTAAAGGGTGTCCTATGAGTTATTCAAAGGGTGAGTATCCTATGCCTTTGTCCCCCATTAAGAAAAAGGTAAATTGTGTGGACAAAATCTCTTAGCTTCATAATAACAAAGGAGAGAGACATTAAATCTTTTACTCATTCCAAACAAACAAAGAGAAATGGCTTATGCTGCTATCTCTTCGCTTATGTATACATTGGAACAACTATTCAAACCAAATCAATCTTTCGTTTGTCCATGCTCTACACAACAACATGTCGAAAATCTCAATCAAAATCTTTCTGCTCTGCAAGATTTCCTTGATGACACTACCACAAAGGATATTGAAACTCTTAAGGTATGTATAGTTATCAAAATCGTACTGATCTTAATTATATACTTTTTTAAAATAATAATTAATTTGTTGAGTTTCAATTCCAAGGTTGTAGAAAAGAGGATCAGAGATGTAGTGTACAAAGCAGAGGATAAAGTTGATTCAAGCTTAAGAAGCATCATTCTAGCAGATAGCACAGAGAGTAGAGAAGGGGCTGCTAAATTCTTCGAGGAAGAATTGGTAAAAGTGGAAAAAGATGTTGATTCTCTCAGGAAAGAGGTGACGGTGGTTGAGTTTAACAAGCACGGAACCAAATCTGCAGAATTAGCGACAACTCCCTTCTCACCAGATCAAAAAAGTACAATTGTGGAAAATACTGTTGTTGGGATGAAGGATGACTTCAACATCATACTTGATCGCCTCACTGCCCAAACAGACGAGTTAATTGTCATACCAATTTTGGGGATGGGAGGTATAGGTAAGACAACTCTTGCCAGAAAAGTTTATGATGATTCATGTATTCGCTCTCGATTTGATAAACTCGCATGGGTCACAATCTCCCAAGAATACAATGAGAGGCAAATGCTTCTTGAAGTTGTCTCTTCAATTACTACCAAAGGCAGTCAAGAAATGAGCAACGATGAACTAATGGAGATTGTGTATAGAGGTCTGAAGGGTAGGAGATTCCTAATTGTCATAGATGATATTTGGAGTACTGAGGCATGGAACCAAATGCAAAGAATATTTCCAAACGATGACAATAAAAGCCGAATTCTATTAACTACTCGGCTCAAGTATGTTGCTGATTATGTCAACTGCCCTGATTTTCCACCTCATAGTAAGTCTTTTCTAAGTCTAGAAGATAGTTGGAATCTATTCACCGAAAAATTATTCAAGAAAGACCAGTGTCCTCCTTTACTTGTAGAAATAGGAAAGCATATTGTACAACAATGTCAAGGATTACCTCTTTCGATTGTTGTGGTTGCCGGACTTCTTGGAAAAATGGACTTAACGCATGACAATTGGAAGAACGTTGAGGAAAATCTGAGCTCATTCTTTGGTACGGTATCTGAACGGTGCCAATCAATACTGTCTCTGAGCTACAATTACTTGCCCCAATATTTGAAGGCTTGTTTTCTCTATGTTGGAGGTTTTCCAGAAGACAGAGAGATCAATGTTTCCCAGTTGATTAGGCTATGGATTGCTGAGCAATTCGTAAAGGCAAGAAACAATAAAAGGTTAGAAGTGGTGGCAGAGGAATATGTACAAGAGCTAATTGATAGAAGTCTAATTTTGATGGATAGCTTAACAACTAATGGAAGGATGAAAACTTTCAAAATTCATGATCTTCTTCGCCAACTATGCCTAAGTGAAACTCATACTGAAAATGTTGTGCATATCATGAATGGGAATGTTCCCATGTTCTTATTAGAAGCCATAGATGATCAACGGCGAGTGATCCTTCTGTCTAAACTTGAAGAGAAGCAAGTTTATCCACCAATGCATAGCAATGGTATAACAAGTATAGCTCGTACCTTCATTTCAATGCAATATTTTCACTACGACGATTTTCCAGAAGGGATTTATTCCATTTTTTCCGCGTTCAAGTTGCTTAAGGTGTTGGATGTACTTACAGTTTGGTACGATTTCTCTAGTGTAATACCTGAGCTTGTACATTTGAGATATGTTGCTGCAGGAATTGAGGAAGGTCTTTCACTAGATAAATTGAGAAATCTACAGACCATAATTCTTCACAAAAATATTGGTGCCAACAGACCAACAAAGTCAGAGCAGCCACTCGATATCTGGAGAATGTCAGAGCTAAGACATGTGGATATTGATTCGCCACGATATATATCTAATCCTCTTGAGGCAGAAAATCCTTTGTTTCTCAATAACTTGCAAAATCTTTATCTCTATAACTCTCATTTTTTTGAGGAAATCATAAAAAGAACTCCCAATCTAAAAACGTTAAAGTTTTTAGATGAATCTGAGCATCCTGACTGGTCTGCGATTCTTGATTCTCTTATTCTTCTAGAGGAGCTGGAGAAGCTAGTCATACAGCTAGAGAGAATGAACGTCAACATTTTCTGTGGAGATATTTTGTATTGTAAAATCAAGAAATTAAGTCCTAATATCAAGAAATTGAAATTATTAGGTACTTATATACCATGGGAAGTTGTGAATTTGCTGGCTTATTTACCTAATCTTGAGGTGATCGAAGGGGAGTATGCATTTTCTGGTACAGATTGGAAACTAGATGAAGATGTTGTGTTTAGCAAATTAAAATATCTGTTAATTGGTGAAGCAGATTTGGAAAGGTGGGAAGCAGCTGCTAGTGATAATTTTCCGATGCTTGAGAAACTAATACTTTATGGGTTTAATAAACTGGACGAGATTCCGGAGAGTATTGGAGATATAATGACACTAAAATTGATCAAAATAGACGATTGTAGCTCTTCGGTAGAGAATAGTGCAAAGAGAATTCAACAAGAGCAACAAAGCTTAGGAAATTATGAGCTTCAACTTCGAATTACTTCAAAGGTATCTTCATTTCCATCCTTCATTATTATTTTCTTTCTATTTTGTTTTCACCTGCTAAAACAAACTTCTAGAAAACATGCATGTAGCAACAATTAAATATGTGTTGCAATAGATATTCATCCGCAACGGTATTCAATTAAAATAAAAGGTAAATATATCACATTAATTAGGTCGATATTTTTCTTCACAGTTTAGAACATTCCTCGTAAGTATCAGACTCCTCTCTCTTCTCTCTGAAAAACGAAAGCTCATCCATGACTCTAACCATTTTTCTTTGCTTTTCCTTGTAGAAATCTGCAACTTCTGAGTCTTCTTCTTCGTGAGTTGTACGTTTCTGCAACTACAGGTATGTTGGGTTTCACCTTCTTCAAAGTTAGAAATTTATTAGAAGCTAGGGTTCTTGACTAATGGGTTTCTTTAAAGTAGTTTTTGCTAGAGTTTATGTATATAATGTCATCTTTTTGTGCATTAGAGTGTGTATTTCGATTTTGGTGAAGATTGAGAAATCTCTGCAAAAATGTTTAGATGGAAATTTTCAGTTTAGGAAGAGTTAATGTTATGAAAGATGAGTTTCCATTCTTCAATCTACATGATAGTTCTTACCAATTAAAAAAAATTCTGTTTTTGAACCGGACAAAAGATTTCTAAGAATAAAATCTTAAATCTGCATGATAGTTTTGAAGAAACCTTACCCCTAGATCAAGAATCAGGTTCTTGATAATTTTGCCTAAAACAAGAATTAAATAAAGCAATATACTTTTAACTAAAACCTTCCTCTCTCAAGGAAGGAAAAACACAACTTTGTTTTATTAAGTCTTCAACTCAACTACAATTGTCGATTAACTCTAATCAGAATTCTTTAACTTACAAGAAGCCAAATCCACTTCTTATTAGTTAAATACTCTCTCTCCACAAGAAGCAAAACCTACTCCTTGTTGGATGTAACTGGAAAGTCAAAAGACCATATTAATTCTCGCTATGACTTGCAAGATATGGGGATACGAAAGGAGCTTCAACCAGTAAAGGATGATGATGGAAAAGTTCATTTAGCTAAAGCTTGTTTCTCCATGAAAGCAGAAGAGAAGATGTTGTTTTGCACTGTCCTTAAAAATGCCAAATTACCAGAAGGTTGTGTTTCAAATATATCAAGATGTGTGGAAGTGGATGAGAAGAAAATATCGGGTTACAAGAGTCATGATGCTCATTTCATAATGCATTACCTGCTCCAAGTTGCTGTTAGAAAAGTTTCTGTAGCGTTGATTCGGTTGGAGAACTTCTTTAGAGTCATACGTGGCAAGGTGATAAACAGAACAGATTTTGATAAGATGCAGTCTGTAATCAATGAGATTATATGTGACCTTGAAAAGAATAATTGTTGCTATAGATGGTCTGTGGCAACGAGACTTTCGACTGTTGCTAGTAATCCGTTACTCTAGATACACGCCAGTTTCTGTTTAAGATACCTCCATCCTATTGCATCTTCTTTTCGCTTTGTTTATTCTCTGCTTTAGGACTCTGACATTAAGGTTGATGGCTTCAGATTTTAATTGACAACAAATAATATTACAAAAGATGTTTTGTTATATAATATTTTGTGTACTCATCACATGACAAAAGGGGTTTCGTTTAGGAAAAACGAACAATGCTTGCTAAGCTGCTACAACATGACTTGAACCTTCGACCAATATAGAGTTGGAGGTGTTTCACAGCCTCACTTGTATATTCTATATCTACAATATCATATTTGGTTGTTTAATTAACAATTCCTGTTTTTTTTTGAATGTTTTGCGAACAATGTTTGCAGCTGGGATAAGAAACCTTTCGGAATAGGGAGAGAGTGAAGGTACCACTCGTTGGACGTATGATTGAGGTATCTCGAAGAGCTTCGATGATTTTAACACATGCTCTAATGGGGTTTGGAAAAGATCCATCCATGTAAATCATATTGCAGTGTTTCAATTAGTTTTTAATACTAAATAGCCAGTATTACTAAGTGCACTATCTTTAAGTGTATAATATTTATATATGATTGTGTGTGTATAATGTTGAAGTAAAGTCACTTATTTAATCCTCCGTTTTATAGAGTGAATGAGTAATCTCGTCAAATGTCAAGAATTGAATGGCAAGGTACAATTCTTACAAGTTATTCTAATTTCTAACGATTTTTGTGCAGTTGAAGAAAGCTGACAATTACAAATAAAATATCCCAAACTTACACTACAACTCGATTGAACAAACACACTTTGCGACTATCTTTTTAATAATATGAAACAATTAATATTAAGAAGGGCATGGATACTAATTAACTAACGAGTAACTTTTGCAAATAGCTATATATAGTTTATCAGGGGCGGCTCAACGTAATTGAGAGCCTAAAGCGAAATTTCAATTGACGCCTAATAAATTACATACATATTTATTTTTCTAAACTATCTAAATAGAAATTACTACTTTATTTTATTATAGATAATTTTTTTGAGTTCATCTTTTTATTTAAAATTTAATTTTAGGTAAGATTTTATCAATTTAACATTGAAAATACTTTTTTTATTGAAGCAATCACTCAAAATTATATAAGTAACAATTGATAAATTTGAAGCAAGATGAGTTATAAAAAATAAATAAATGTTAGCAAAGGAATGTAATAAAAATATATACTATATACTCTTTATTATAAATAATTATTTTTTAAAAAAAAATAACACATAATTTTTTGTTGGTAAAAATTGGAGGTCTTTCAAAATTGGAGGCCTAAGGCAAGTGCCTTATGTAGTTTTGTATAATTAAGTTATTTTTGTATAAATTTGAAATAAAAAAATTTATACAATACAAAACATCAGAAATATAAATAGTTATACGAATTATATTATATAAAAATTATGAATTATACAAACATGCGAATTTTACAAAACTAAAAAGTTAAGCTGCGTAATTATAGTTAAAAGTATGTCGTGAATTGTAATTGAGTCAAACTATAACTATGTTAAGTAATTAACTAGTATACATTTGTTTATAAGCGTAAACTTTGGTTATGAAAATGAAGAGTCGTTAAAAAACATAATATATTTTAAAACAAACATAATATATTTTAAAAAATAATTATAATTCATATATATTGCATACATAATTCACTTTTAATACATATTGCAAATTTAAAATAGTATTATTATAAATAATAATAAATAAAAAAATATTACTAAAATCAATAATTATTTATTAAAATATACCAATTCGTGTAATTTTTTTTTTTTTAAAGTCCAACCTTATGCCAATTGACCCAAAACATTCTCTAATAGAGCCCAAATGACTTGGCCCTATCAAGCCTGCTTATCTCTATTTAAAAAAAAAAAAAAAAAAGAGCCCATATAAGGGCAAAACACAACAAGCCTATTTATCATCAAACATTTTTTTAAAAAAAAAATACAAAGAAATTTGTAGGACAATAATATATGTTAATTGGTCTGACTTCAATTTTTATATACATGATATTGATTAGTTTTAAATTCTCATGTCAAACTTCATAAAAAAATATTTCAAATTTGGAGCTTAAATATTTTTTACCTTCAATCTTGTAAATTTAAAGTAGAATAATATGAATCATCAGTAACATATATTTCATACCTTTCTATAGAACTTACGTCATGTAGTTAGATGAAAATATATATTTTCTCTACATATACATTATTAACATCTCGATCTCGACTTTTTCGTGAACTTATTAAAAATTTTAATTCTGTCACGACGACGTATTTGTACCGAGTTATAGTGGTGTGTTCAGTTTAGTTGTCAGGCATGCGTGATGCGTCGCTTCATATATATGTCATATGTGAGTACACTGTTTATGTTCGATATTAAGCTTTCTATTGTACTAATAATGGTACGGATGTTTTGTGTCATACTAAAGCCACAATCTTGTCAATGGCATTGTAATCATAAATGATTGGTGAAAATACGCGGATAAAATTGAATTTGAACAGATTAAAATAAATTGAGTTAATAAATAAGCAAGTTATTGACTCGCCAAAAATTTAGTTGAGATGAAATGAGATAAAAAAGAGAATCTTATTAAGTTTTACATTGCTTTGTTTGTGCTGTTACAAGTTTTTGTACGTAATAAAACTATTATTTTTTAAATTTTTATGATTATATATAAGTTATAACATAACAAATAAAAAAAATATATCAATATAAGCTATATATATATATATATATATATATATATATATATATATCTAGTTATTAATAAATTTATATAATATATAAATGGATTTATAAAAAAATCTCAAGCCTGAATGAGTTAGACAAGTTTATTTTCATAAGCTAAATTTATCATATTCAATTTATGTGGTAATTACTAGAACATTCAAAACCCTCTTTTCTATTTCGCTCTTGTTTATTTATTCTCAATTTATGTGATTTTATTTAATTAGACTTATAGTTTTTAAAAGCTGGAACTGAAGATTTTTGAATTTTTATGTTTAAAATAGATCTTAGATACTTATGTGACTATAAATTATTTCGTTAAATATAAAAAAAAAAATTAAAGTTATTTTTGATTTTTTTTAAATGGCAACATTTTTCATGATATGGATTATACGAGAAAGTATGTCATATCAATTGAAACAGAAGAATATATATGAAAATAAAATCTAGATTTTCTCAATTCACCATGTGTAGAAAAAGAAGTTTAGTTTTGATATATATTAGTCATGACACAATTAATGTTGAAGGATTAAAAAATAATTTGTAGTATGGAAAGACTCAAGCATGAGTTAAAGAGAGATTTAGTTGTAGGATTTGCATGGGATATTACACCCTAATTTTGAGTTTAAATCTTTGTTAGGATTTGCTAATTAAGATATAATCAGTTCCTAAGTTCTAGGTCATGCTTTGCACATGCCAATGCTTCTCTTTAATTTGTTTCTCAAGAAAGATGGAGGGGGGGGGGGGGTGTTTAAAAAATGTACAATGACAAGAAAATTATTGAAATAATATGATGTAATATCTATGTATTGATGATGTTAAAAAAAATAAATTTATATTACATTAATAATGATGTATAAATACTCCCTCCATTCATGACTTTTACTAATTCAGTTTGAATTTTACACATTTTTTTATAAATAATATTTCTTATATCTCAATATATAGGGCACAATTTTAATTTCGAAAATTAAATAATTTAATTTTAATTGAAATTATAATTTTTTTTAATTATTTAAAATTTAAAAATTATATAAAAAATATTATAATTCACAATAATTAATGATCGAAAGATATCACATAAATTTGAACATAAAGAATAATTGATATGCATATTTTGCCATAATACCTACTTTATTAATGTTTAGTCACAAGTGAAAAATGATTTTGGGGGTATAAGTGATGATTTTATTTTAGTTTAGTTGAGATAGAGGGAGAAAAAATGGGGCAGGTGAATAACCAATGAGTAATGAATGTTTAGGATAAAATATATATGGAGGGGGATATGCTAAAATCACAAGTAAATGTGAAAATATATTTTTAATATAATAGATAAAAAAAATAATGAAAAAAGTAATTTTTGCTCTCTATATTTAGTGTAGTCGGACAAGTGAAATTTTACCTTTATTTTTTATGGGGTTGTAAAAACACAGTCTTCAATAATACACTACAACAAAAAATATATTTAATGGCAATATTGATTGTCACAAAAATATTCAATGGCGATCAAGTTATTATCGTTGCATCTAAAGTCGCCTTTAACAGTATTTATTTATATAGTGTTGATTATATATACCTATATTATATTATTCCTACAAAACATAATATAGCAACGATTATATTATTTCCACTAAATAACTATCGAAAAATTCTTCATTTTGTTACAAAACTCAATACATACATAGACAATGTAGATGTACGTAGACATTATATCTACTTTTTACGAATAAAAGAAACTATTTCTGATATACTTAAAAAATAAAGTGTATATCTTATACTCAAAAAATTGAACAATATATTCTTGTTAACTTTAATGTTTGAGGGCACATATATATGTATATATGCCTTTTTGACTAGGTCAAGATCCTCATGAAGCAGTGTATATATTTTGAAAAGAACCCCACATACATAAATATCAAAAAACAACAAGATGTGTGCCTCTCTCTTTGTGTATCTTTATAGCCTGTCTCTCTGAATCCAAAAACATTTATTCATACAATTATTTGAATGATCTTATGATTATTGAGGGATCCAAGGCTTTCATCATAAGAGAGAGATGAGAATGATCAAAAGTTGAAACAAATTACTAATATAAAGTTTTAAAAAAAGCAAACAAAAAAAAAGCAAAGCAAAGATTCTACATATCATTCATTGTTTTGTTTGGCAGCAGATCCAAGAAGAGAGTTTTATTAATTTGCTTACTTTCATGCACATAAAAAAAAAATGTAGTATAAAATAGCAAAAGAAAGAGAGATAAAAGCTTTATGTTGATTGTGACTATATTATGTAAAAGAAGCAATTTCTCTATCTTTTCTCTTTAATTAAAGAAAAAGTCTGCAAAGGAGCATGCTGTGGAAACTTTGTCTCCATTACATTAATTAGATCTTTTTTTTCCCCTCAAATATTTCAAAAATATTTTGGATTGGAATAATTGCATGTTTCATCCTTCAATTTTGGTTGAAATGCATTGATAGTTCGTTAAGTTTGTTAATATATTTCATTTAGATATGTGTAGTCGAATTATAGCCTATTCTAATTGAGCATTTAAATACATGATAAAATGTTTCTACCTCGAATGTGTCATCAAGAGTCCATATGTAAGTTAACGGTATAAAATATATCAACTTCTTAGTATTATCTTTCGACAAGATTTGTGGTGTCTGGGTGAGATTACGCATATCTCGATTAGTTTTATGAGGTATCTATCACCTCTCATTAGCACAAGTATTAAGTGTGGGAGCCAGATGTACTTTTAATGTCATCCCTTCGTCGAAAAAATTACATTGTGTAGCTAGGTAACAATATTTTTCTTATGTATACACATTGTATATTGACACCCTTTTGGTTTCTTCGTGAATTTACTTAATTCATTATATTTTGAGACTCTTAAGTGAATCTCAATTATACAATGTTTGGA